CAAAGCTACACAAGAGAAACCCAGTCTCGAAAAACAAAAAACAAAAAACAAAAAACAAAAAACAAAAAAAAAAAAAGAGAGAGAGAGAGAGAGAGAAGTAAATAGATCATCTCTTTCGCTTAAGTGTCTTCCAAAGTTCCATCCATTAAATGCTTGGTTCCCAGGGTAGCACTGTTAGGACATGGCAATGCCTTTAGAAATGGGGCTTAATTGGAGGTTTTTGGCCACTGTGGGTACTCTTGAGAGGTTGATGGGTTCCTGGTGTCTCACCTTCTCTTATGCCTTGGCCACAAATTGGGAGGCTTTATTTCACCAGGAGCCCCCACCATGCAGGACTGCCTCATTACATGCTCCAAGGAATGAGGCCAAGCGCATGGACTTCAGCCTCTGAAACTGTACTCCCAAACAAACCTTTGCTCTTTAGAAAGTCTCTGTAATTTGCTATAATGACAGAAAACTAAGCGAACAACCAGCAGTTTGTCTTCTGTAGCTCATCAACAAAACACTCACCAGGAACCGAGTATTCTGCAAACAAAGAAGAAAAATACAAAAACCCTCTTAGCAACTACCCAAAATGAGCACAGCAAGGTTTTTCTTCAATCAAAAATTAGAAATATGAAAATGAATTCTCCTAGGATTTTAAAGTTTCTACAACAGTTAGTTCTTTATAAATATAGCAGTGTCAAGCTGAGTTTATTCTGAAAAAATTACTTTACTTTCTGGATTTTATCTCAATATCCCTCAAGGAACTGAGAGACTGAGGAATTTAACTAATCAAAAGATACAAGTTTTATTATTCACCAACCCAAGGAAATATTACATTGCTACATTTCTATGTTCATGATTACAGTAAATTAAATAAGAAAAAGTGGCTTTCTCTGCTGTTAAATAGAATTGTTTGAGGCTTTTTGCCTCCAATTTTTTTACATTTTATATTTTGACTCTGTGTGTGTGCATGTGCGTACATGTGCCTAAGTATATGCATGTGTTTGCAAGCTCCCATGGAAGCCAGAATGTAGTGTCAAATGCCATGGATTTGACAAATGCCGAGTGCGGGTAGTTGTGAGCCACCTCACATGGGTGCCGGGAACTGAACGCAGATTCTCTGGAAAAGCAGCAAGCGCCTAATGAGCCATCTCATCTCCCCAGCCTCCTGTTTCGACTTTTGCTTTGTAGTGCCGGAGAGCATAATGCATGCGAGGCAAGTGCTCTACCCCTGAGGTCCTCTTCAGCCAAGAAAATACCATTTTTCAATGAAATAAAAAGTATAAATTCAATTTAAATTCACAAAATGGAGCCTGCTTGAACGTACATTTTCACACGTGCTCACTTAACCATAGTGGAAATCCATATTTATATTTAATTTTGCGTCTAAAAGTGCTATGATGTTTTTGCAATATGTTATAACATCTTATAGCCTAAATGCCTATTTACATTATTAATTGTATTCCTAGATTCATGTGTCTTGCTTTTCCATAAAGATTCTTTGAGAAGAATATATTCAAGAAAAGAATGATGGTTTCTCAGAAAGAAAGCTGACAGATGAGAAGGAATCCCAAGGTGAACACTCAGCTTCCTGTCAGAGAACTCTAACAGCTCCTCATGCACCTCCAAAAAGCAAAGTCATCCAGTGGAAATCCATATGATTGTGTAACCGAGCTGACCTCAGACAATGCAATGAGTGTCTCAGTAACCATGCTGAGAGTGCCATGGAGCTAGGAGAGATGCCACTTAAAGAGTGTACATACTCTAGTGGACTGGAGAAGTAAGTTTGTGATTCCATTGTACAGCACTAGCACTATAGCTAGCTATACGATAATTAGCATTTCAAAGCTGGGCGGTGGTGGTGCACGCCTTTAATCCCAGCACTCGGGGAGGCAGGGCCAGGCAGATCTCTGAGTTCAAGGCCAGCCTGGTCTACAGAGCTAGATTCAGGAAAGGCACAAAGCTACACAGAGAAACCTTGTCTCAAAAAAAAAAAAAATGCATTTCAAATTTTCTCTTAAGAATATATCTCTAGCTTTCTCATTGCAAAAAAAAACCCATAAGCTGGCTATATGATAGGCATGTTATCTAAATTAATTAATCAATTATACAATGCACACATAGATAAAACATCATGTTATATTTCATAATTATACCCAGTCATTTTT